GGGGGCCGGGTACAGGGGCACCTGACAGAAGAGGGACAGTGGCTCTGCCCACTGACCATCCTGCCCCTAGTCACGGACCCCAGGCTCTCCGGGGAGTCTGGGAGCTGGGTCCCCCTCTTCCTGGCTGGCCTGATGCACCCTCTCCCACCCCCTCTCCCCCACAGTGGGTTCCGGTCCCCGATTGACACCTAAGTGATGTCAGTTGCCAGCTCTGCCTTCTGCTCCTAAGTGGCCCAGTGGCCCTGGCACCTCATCCTTCCTGCTGCTCAGGCCGCGCTGAGCGGGGCTAGAGCAGAACCACGTGGCCAGCGGAGCAAGGCGGAGCTGGGGAGCAGGCCCCCTCGGCAGCCGGGGGTGGGAGCCTCCTTATCGAGGGGGCATGTGAGGCAGGTTTGCAGGGTGAAAGCAGTTTGCCAAGGAGGGGAGGGCCTTCCAGGCGGAGGGGCTGGATGAGTACAGGCAGGAGACGCTGGGGTGTCAACGGAAACACCTCCGAGTGGGTGGGTGGAGCAATGGGCGGGCAGGGAGGTGGGGCTGAGGCTGGAGCCAGAGTGGAAGGTTCTCCCGTGAGACCTGGGCTTTAACCTGCTAGGCCAGCCTTTCCCAAACCACCAAGAGATGTCCCTGAAAAGAGGGTTCGCTGGTCCAAGCGGAGAGCCACAGCAAACCTGGAGGCAGCAAAGGCTCTGATAAGTCCCGCAGCCAAGCAGCCTGTTTAACCTTTCTTTGCTCGGGGTTCTCCACGGCTATTTCCTGGGCAGTGGGGAGCAGCAGGGAAAGATGGGGGGCTAGATGTGGAGCGTTAGAGGCACCTGGCTCCTTGGCACTCGCGGCCACATGAAGAAGAAGAAGGCACAGGGCTGCCTAGGAGCTGAGGGGAGCCGGCGAAAGGCCCTGCTGGCGTGACCCGGCCTGGGGCCTTGGTGACTAAGTGGAGGAGAGAGTGGACTCCTGCTTAGTCCGGGGAAGGGGTGATGGTCTGAGGCCCCAGTAAAGTCGGAGAGGCATCTTTTTTAAAAAAATATATATTTTATTGATTTTTTACAGAGAGTAAGGGAGAGGGATAGAGAGTTAGAAATATCGATGAGAGAGAAACATCGATCAGCCGCCTCCTGCACACCCCCTACTGGGGATGTGCCCGCAACCAAGGTACATGCCCTTGACCGGAATCGAACCCGGGACCCTTCAATCCGCAGGCCAACGCTCTATCCACTGAGCCAAACTGGCCAGGGCTGGAGAGGCATCTTAGGGGCTCCTCGGTACACCCGGCATGAGGTTGCCCATGTTCTCCCACCCACGAGGGGTTAGGGGAGGGTTTGGGGGGGTCCATCCCAGGGAGCCCTTGGCCTGCCCCGTCCTTGGCTTGGCCCTGGGCTCCTTGGGAGGCTGGGCCTGGGGAGAGGACGCCAGGTCCGCCCCCATGTCTGTCTGCTGCCCCTCCCACTGCGCCTTCTCCCGGCTGCGCATCCCCCGCATGAGCTGGCGGGTGAGCCCAGCCGGCCCCATGGCCCCTCTGCTTCCCCCAGCACATGTGCCCTGAGCGGGTTGGCCCGTGCCTGTCGCCACCGAATCCGGCTCGGGGACTCCGAGAGTCACTACTACATCTCGCCATCGTCCCGGGCCAGGGTGAGTCACCCATTTAGAGCATCGCTTGGCTCCTGAGGGGCCCCCTGGGCTGGGACTCTGGGCCCCGGCCTTGACCCACAGGGCAGGCTCAGAGAGGTGCGGGGACTGATCGAGCCGCACAGCCCAGCCAGGTGTCCTGGTTGGCTCTGGCTGCAGAACAAGTCACCATGCACGCCGTGGCTCCCAACACCCATTCATTCTCCTCCCCCCGGGTCAGGAGTCTGGGCCTTGACCCACAGGGCAGGCTCAGAGAGGTGCGGGGACTGACCGGGCCGCACAGCCCAGCTCCCAACACCCGTTCATTCTCCTCCCCCCGGGTCAGGAGTCTGGGCCCCGCTTAGCGGGGCGCCCGGCTCAGGTCTCCTGGGCGGCAGCCAAGGTGTCCGCCGGCTGCCTCCTTTCTGGAGACTGGGGTCCTCTCCCGAGCGCGTGTGGCCGTTGGCGGAACCCGGTGCCTCTGTGGCTGAAGGACTAGGTGCCCGTGTTCTCGCTGGCCAAGACGTAATCTGGGTGCCCCTGCACCTGTGTTGTTTAATGTCCCCGGATGAAGGCAGTGGCCTGGAGGTCAGACTACAGTCCCGGCGCCTGCGCCCGCCTTCGTTCCAGCCCCGGCTTTGGGGGGGTCCTGAGGCGTGTTTGTCACAAAGCCCGCCGTCAGCGCGGGGCGGGGGACCCTCTAGGACTCCCAGCCCTGCCCCCTGTTGCCCTGTGACCGGGCTGATCGGGGCCTCGCCGAGCTGGGGGTAAGGGTGGGGTGGTCCCCACTCTTCCGGCCCCTCATGGACGGCGAAGAGGGTTGTAGGGGGCAGAGGAGGAGCTTGGTGCGAAGGCGGCCTCGTGCGGGCGGCCTCGGAGGAAACTCCTCCCCTTGGCCTCCTAGGGGCGCCTGTGGGGTCTGAATGGACTTACGGCCACGTCCTTGGCAGCAGGCTGGCCAGTGCGGGCAGCGTGTCTGTCCGACAGCTTCCGCAGGGCACCGAGCATGTCGCCCCGGTGGGGACCCCCAGGAGTGAGCTGACTCATTTCCCCAAAGGGAGTCTGAGCCTTAGAGAGGAGGGGGTGTGCCTGGGCCGCTCAGCGCCGGGTCTCCCCGCTCGGAGTCCGCAGAAGGACGCGCGGACATCCCCGTGCCCGGCCAAGTCACCTTCAGGACTTGGTTCCTTCAGGCCTGGCGCCCGCTCTGGCCTGGGGGATGAGGAGGGGGGACGTTTTAGGTTGTGGTCCCCGAGGATGTGGTCCCATCCGGAGGAGACCCAGGCGTGTGGGGTCCGCAGGGAGAGGAGCTCTGTCCCCAAGCACAGCCCTGGGGCCAGAACCCCCTGCTCCCGCCAGTCCCTGCTCACGAGCCTCCCGTGGGGACCACGGGCCACACCTGGCCTTTTCCTGCCCGCCCCCCGCCAGTCCTGCCCCGCCCCCCGCATTCTGGCCTCACTGGGCTGGTGCCCTGACTTGGCCACACTCCCTTCATACCTCCCTGCCTGTGCCCGGGCCACCAGCCCCCCTGCACCCACTTTGTCCCTGGCAAGGGTTCCTGTGTGTTTGAGGGCCCAGCACGAGCAGGTCCGCTCCCTGTGACTTTCTCCAGGCCCCGTCTGGGGCCCCCACACACTGGACACCCCTTCCCCAGGGGGCTGGACGTCCAGTCGGGGCTGCTGTGGGCACTGCCAGCTGCCTACCGTTCTGCCTCAGGGCGGGTGTCCCTAAAGGCAGAGCCTCAGAGAAACGTGCAAGGCTCAGGCGCTAGAGAGGACGCAGGATGGGGTGCAGGCGAGGGGAGGTGGCGGAGCGAAGCGGGGTGTGGCCGAGGCTGGGGTCTGGCTGCGGCTGAGTGGGTCCCACCCTGAGGCAAGGGGACTGGCCTTTTATACCCCCCATGCCAGGTAGCCATTGGCAGAGGGGCACCTATGAGCCATTAGCGGCCAGCTCTCTCAGCATCGGGGAGATGGGGCCCCAGCCTGGGGAGGGCCCTGCAATATCCTCTCTACCGTATGAGAGTCTTCGTGGCAGGGCCCGGGTCTGAGCACAGGGGGCAGAGCAGGCTTTGGCCGGGCTGGGGCTTCGGGCATGGGCACCCAGGGCCGCCAGGGGAGCGGCTGCCGATCCCCTTGTCTTCCCTGGCGTTACCAGGAGCACCTGGCTAAGGCCTGGCTGGCCCGAGCCTCGGCATCCAGAGCAGCAGCCGCGGGGGTGGGCGGCTCTGCCACGATTGGCTCTGTGACCTCCACGGTTGTCAGCTGGCTTCGTTTTGGGAGCCTCCGTTTTCCCCCGTAACAAGGGCATGAGAAGCAGGCTGCCTCCCTGGCGGTGGGCCCTTGATTAAATGCTAGTTGCTGCTGTTGTTTTTAGTCGAGGTTGTAATAGTACTGCTATTGTTAAACAGCCCAGCCCCGTTCGATTCAGGCTCTGATGGGACAGGACATGGGGCGTCCCGCTCTGGTCTCTGACCTGCCCTGGCTTTTGAGGGACCCCAAGTCTGAGGACTGGCGGTCACATCCCCCCCTCCCCTTCTTCCCGCAGATCACCGCTGTGTGCAACTTCTTCACCTACATCCGCTACATCCAGCAAGGCCTGGTGCGGCAGGACGGTGAGCGCCCCCTGGTGGCCGACGGGAGGATGGCACCCTGGGGGATGGGGATGGGGCCGGTCCGAGGCTTCTGCCAGGACTCCGTGAGGGGGAGATTGTGGGTGAGGAAAGGGCCAGTAAGCCTGGCGCTGATGTGAGCTGCAGAAGGAGCTCTGAACCCCGCTTTACCAGGAACGCTAGCCTGATGCCACCCCCCACCTGGTCTGACTGCTTTCTCCCTGGCCCAAGGCCCGCAGGGACAGCTCCCTGTCACTGGCCTGGCGTTTGAGAACCTGCATGAGGGGCCTCCCCGGGGACCCCTCTCCTCCAGGTGTGGCCTTCTCATGGCCCCTGAACCTGGGCCTCCCCCTGTGCCCTTGCCCAGCGGGTCCTCTGACACCCCTGCCCCCTCCCCCCATCCTGCATAGCCTAGCTTCCCGCTCCTCCAAACTTGGTTCCCCAAGAGTGTCCTGAACCAGTTTGGAGTGTGCGCCTCTCCCCCACCTGTGGGGGCCAACTCCCCCGGGGAAGGCCGCAGCCAGGCCAGGGTTGAGCCCTGAGGGGCCACCTCCTTCCAGCTGCGTGGACTGGCCCTGCTCAAGGTCCCGGTGAGGCCTTGGGAGGTGAGGAGGGAAGGCATTGCGAGTGTGTGGCCGTGTGCACCTGCTCATCCGTGTCCGGCTGTGGGAGCGACCGCCACCTGCTCCCCGGGCAGCACGGCCCCTGCACGTGTGTGCACTCAGCAGTTTGCAAACCTCAGACCCCACCCTCGGAGAGTGCAGCCACTGGCCGAGGCCATCTGTCCTGGGGGACGGGGAGCCCAGAGTGCCTGCCTGCTGCCCTGCCCAGAGCCAGGGGAGGGCCAGGCCGTCTGCCCAAGGTGACCCTGAGCTGTCACCAAGCTCTCCGCCCTCTCTCTGCCTGCAGCAGAGCCCATGTTCTGGGAGATCACCAGGCTGCGGAAGGAGATGTCGCTGGCCAAGCTGGGCTTCTTCCCCCAGGAGGCCTAGCCTGGCCCAGGACCGACGGGCGGACAGGAGGACGGTGCGGGAGCCAGCCCGGAGCCAGAAGCTGCACAGACGGACACACGGCCAGGCGAGGAGGCGTGCTGAGCCAGTCCCACGCGCCATCCCAGGGAGACAGGACCCCTTCCCAGTGGCACAGCCACCACGAGGCTGGAAGGCACCGGAGACCGAGGACCCGGACCCACACTCGAGGGCTCAGCTTTCGGGAGGGGACCCCTGGGCCAGCCGGCACCCTCCGCCCCAGTTTCGGGAGCTGCTGCCTGCAGGTGCCTGCGGCTGCTGGGCAGCCTGGTCTCCTGGTATTGCCCACCCAGCTCCCAAGCCCTGCGCACCAGCACCCCCTTGTGGCCATCCCTCGCCCCATCCCAGTGGGCCCGCCGTCCTAAGTGCCCATGGGGCAGTGGTGCTAGGAGGGGCCGCCAGGGACTTCCACGCCAGCTGGCACCTGCTTGAGAACTGCCTCCAAGTTCCTCCGATGGACAAGGCCCCTCCCATGTGACCTGCCCCTGCCCCTGCCCCTCTGAGCCCTGTGCTCCGGGAGGCACCGCCCCCACCGCCGCTGGAAGGACCGGGGCACTTTTCCCCCAAAGCAAAGCACAGCCAAGGCCTCATGGCGCCAAGCCTGCTATCAGCTGAGGGTGGCCCTTCAGACAGCATGGACCGAGGTCATCAAGCCCTGCCCGCAGGACAGGGGTGGGACAGGCAGGCCCCAGGCCCCCCTCCCCCCTCACAGCCCATTCAGGGCCCGGCTACCACCTGGACACATCCCTCACCACGTCCAGTTTCCGCCTCTGAATGGAATGCAGCGCATCTCTATTTAATAAAGGAAGCCTTTGTTGGTAGAGGCGGGGCAGCCACGCGCCTTCGCTCCTGTGCCCGGGGCTCGGGCCAAGGCTCGGGCATCTACAGGGACGAAACCAAATCCTTTCCTCGCCCACCGGCCCTCGTGCGCCGGATTAAGCCCAGATCCTGCAGGGTGGCTGTGCGGAGACGCCTCGGGTGGGGCTGCTGGCTGTTGGGGGAGGAGCCCGAGTCCTCTCCCCTGGGGAGCGGCTGCCGTGGGGAGAATGGCTGGCTCTGCGGTGCCTCCTGAGGGCCTTGGGCGGGTCCCCTCCAGTCTCCCTGCCTCGGTCTCAAGGAAGCCTGGAGCCCGGAGTCCAGCTGCCTGGCGCTCACGGGACAGCGGGAGGGTTGACTGGTGATGTCAACACAGGCAGGGACCGTGGTAGCAATCAGGGAGGAGGAAGGGCTGGGGCCTGGTACTGCCCGTCCCAGCCCCCAGCGCCCGTTCCCGACTCAGTCACACCCAGGGGAGGGAAACACCGGGTGACATTCCAGAGGCCAGGCCCAGGGCCCCGCCCTCCAGACCTGCTCTGCCTGCCCCTCCGATAGCGGGCACTTCTCTTGTCAGGCCCACGCGCGGCCCTCAGGAGCAAACAGTAGCTGAGAGGGATGGGGACACACTCTGGCCCCATTATCTCCCAACAATAGCTCATTTCTGAGCCCTTGTCCCGTCCCAATCCTGGTTTCCAGCCCTTTCAATGAACGAATTCATGTGACCCTCACAGCAGCCCTACGCGGTACTGTTATCCCCATTTTGCAGATGAATCAACTGAGGCACCGAGAGGTCACACAGAGGAAATGGTGTCCCCACAACAGGAATGGACGAGTCCAGCTCCAGAGTGTTAAGCAGCATCCTAGGCTCCTTTTACTAAACATCTCCATGTAAAAAGCTGCTGGTTCGATCCCAGGTCAGGGCACATGTCTGGGTTGTAGATGGATCCCCGGTAGAGGGTGTGCAGGGGGCAGCCCATTATGGTCTCACTCTCACATTGATGCTTCTCTCCCTCTCCCTTCCTCTCTAAAAAAATAAAATACAAATCTTTAACCCCCTGCCATGTTCCTGGTGAGGAACCAGGCCCTTCCCCGGTTTTCGGGGATGGAGAAGCTGAGGTGCAGGCCGTGGCCGAGGCAGATTTGAGTCTATGTTTGTTTCCCACATTTTTACCCCGTGACACCTGCCCTCGCCTTGTCCTTCTGGTTTGGGGGGTGGCTCAGGGAGGGAACAGTTAGCCATCAGCCACACAGGTGTTACTCCTCTTAAGTGAATTTTCTAGATAACCCACTTGGCCCTGGCACATGTGGTCACCTCTGGAAAGCTAGCACCGACCAGGGCCATTGAGCCCGAGCCCAGCCGCCCCGTGGCCTGCCCATCAGAATGCCGCATGTCACAGTCTGCCACGCCTGTCCTGATCTGATCCTGCCAGGGCTCTGTACCTGGGCCCTGCGCTCCTCTCTGGGCCTCAGTTTTCCCATCTGTGAGTTGGGGAGATTGGCTGCCGTCACCTTTACTATCCCCTCCCTCTTTTCTCATTTATTTTATTGTGGTAAAAAACACATAAAGTTTACCATCTTAACCATTTAAAAAATATATAGTATTTTTATTCATTCCGAGAGGAAGGGAGAGGGAGAGAGAGATACAAGCATCAATGATGAGAAGTTCATTGATCGGCTGCCTCCTGCACACCCCCTACTGGGGATCGAGCCCGCAACCCGGGCATGTGCCCTGACCGGGAATGGAACCGTGACCTCCTGGTTCATAGGTGGACGCCCAACCACTGAGCCACGCCGGCCGGGCACCGCCTGAACCATTTTGAAGCGCACAGGCCAGTTGTGCTAAGTATGTTCACACTGTCGTGAAGCAGATGTCCAGCGCCTTTTCATCTTGCCAGTCGGCAACTCTACCCGTTAGACAGCCCCTCCCCCGCCGCTGGCCGCCACGGCCACTTCCGTTCCCAGGACGCTGGCTGCTTTAGACACTGTCCGTGGCATCGTGCAGCGTCTGTCCTTCCGAGACTGGCTTATTCCACTTCAAGGCTCATGCGCGTTGCGGCCTGGGGCAGGGGTCTTCCCTCCTTGGGGCTGGTAACAGTCCTCGGTGCGTGTGGGCCACACGCTCCTTGTCCCCCTTTGATGGGCACGTAGGTTGTTGCCAGCACTCGGCTAACGTGGTGCGCGCTCTCTCTGGACCCTGCTTTCCATTCCTTTGGACGTTCACCGAGAGGCGGGTCGGCTGGTAGGTGCGTTTTAGTTTGGTCAGGACCCTCCACGCTATCCTCCATGGTGGTGCTCCGGTTTACAACCCTCCGCGGTGCGCAAGGCTCCGGCCGCGCAGTCCTCCCAGCACTCACTCCTCGCTGTCTTTGGATAATGGCCTTGCTGATGGCTGGGGGATGCTCCTTGCGGTTTTGACTTGCATTTCTCTGATGCTTAATGCTGTTGAGCATCTTCTCATGTGCTCCTTGGCCAGCTGTGTGCAGCCCGTTTCGCTCAGGGGCATCTGTTCTAAGGAGCTCTGCGCCATGGCGGCCACGCATGGGGAGAGTCTGTGGCGGGGAGGGCCACAGGGGTCTTGAATAACCATGGCCCTGCCTCCCGCCCTCCCCCTCACAGGAGAGAGTGTGCAGGGGCTCAGCAGCCGGCGGGGGTGAGCTTGCACTGCAAGGCGAATGCTAAAGCTCAGGGGGAGGCTGCTGTGTGTCTGCTGGGCGCATCGGGGCTTGGCGACTGCTCTCTGGGAGGCTGGGAGC